TTTCTAATATCTAGAAGGTGAAAAAAAACACACACACAAAAAAAACGTTATATATAAAACAGAGGGCAGTTCTTTTCTGATATAAATAAAACATAGGGCACGCGTCTTGCATGCATCTCTTTTTTTTCCGGCCTATAAAAAGAAATTCCGGGACATTCAAAATTGAATTTATGATGGGGCGGGCGCTTTAACACGGGGTATTTTGTCATGTTTCATAAGGTTTATTACTAGTCAGAAGGAAGCCACGCAAGCCATATCACGTTGCAAACAGCTAATTCGAGTGTTTCTCAAGGAGCTCTAGAACGTTCCAATTGACATTTCGGTTATTAATACATTTAAAAAAGTCAGGTGCTTACTCCTAAATATTTAATTTATTAAGCATAATTAAAAATACTGCAACTCTCGCAAGACGTCTGCGCAAAATATAAAGTTGGTTTCGTTGGCGTAAAGTGGCTGCGCTCTAATTTTGAGTTACAGAGATTTGTAAGCGTCATTTATTTTTCTGCTTGGTCTTTAAATATTCGTGAAAAGCATTCGCGGCCTTACCTGTCAAGCCGCGGAAGCGGACAGCGCGGCCTCCTCGGCGAATTGTTCCCTCATCGAAGACGACAATGAATAAAAGGTACGATCAAAATCTTAATACCTGAAGAAAGCGCAAGTTTAAAATAATTCTAAGAGTGTGAGTTGATTTTATTTCTTCTATATTCAAATTTCAACACTCGTCGCAGGCAGCATGAAAGGAAGCACTGCACTCTTGGCGCAAACCAGTGTCCACTCAACGGTCCTACACTCAAACACGCATCACCACCCGACCTGTTTGAAAAATGAATAATTTCCGGTACTTTTGGTAGAAAAGGCGAATTTTCTACTGAGCGTGATATTTTGTGGACCCAAAAGTCCTGTAGCCGAGATCGGTAGTTCATGGCTTCAGGAAGGCGAAGAACGACGGATGCATTATTTCCCGCGGAAGTACTGTTTTGACGTTGAATTCCACATAAAATTGCATTTTCACAAATTGGTGGCACGATACCGAACACCGAACTTGCTTGATGACTTTTCCTTTAGAGACAACATAGCCAGACATAATCTACAGATATTGCAGAATTTATTTTAATCGGCGTACAGAGCGAAAGACAAGTATTGACATAAAGAACACAATAGAGCTCTGCATTTCTACTGCATTTCTTTCTGTACTTGTGGACAGTTAGTCCGCATGGCTATATTAAAAAAATTGACATATCGTTTAAGCCTACCCCTTTTTATAGTTTTTTTCATAAATTAATTATGAATCGTGGTGAATCCCGGCTTGGTTCGGGTAAAGATCTCGCGCGTGTTCAAGGACACATTTCGGCATGATTTCCCGCTTGGTGACGACGTTGAGCTGGCCGCTCTTCCGCTTCCTTTCTAAGGAGGCGGGGAACGCCAGACCCCTAAATTAGCGAAGCAGCCCCAAAACTTGCGGTAGTACACCTTCCCAACTCCTGGGTTTTTTTGGGGATGGTCGCTGGCCTTCGCCCACCCTGACAGAGCCCCGAACAATTATGATGCAAGGGGTGCAGAGGCCATCTGGGCATTCCATTCCTTAATCAGCGAACAAATGGGAACAGAAGAGAATGAAAACTTCGTAATACTTGCTGTCTTTTCATAAATGGCATAATATGCCAGTATTGCTAGTTGCACTATTTTACGCGAAGAAAGTTGTGATTTTGCGGTTCAATCTCCGTGTTTCCGATTCTCTTTGCTGATTCGCAAGATATTTGGCGGTTGTCGAGTTTTCAGTTACATTTGTAGACAGAAACTAAATGCACGTTTGGCCACGAAGAAATTTTTTTCAAAGGCTGAAGATAGATGAAATGTACCATAAACCGTTTCACTTTTTATGGAAGTTTGTTTTTACTCTTCTTAGTAGCTTCAACGAGGCGGCCGTCACTCTAGAAAACACCTGTAGTACGAACCTATATATTATGCCCCAGAAATGGCCAGATTGAATCCCTTTGACTGCAATATCTTTGACTTGTATTTACTCATAAATATTACCTTAAAAAGAATAGTGATACAATCACTCCTCAGTGTGCCGTTCTTAGAACGACCAATTTTCAACTCTCTGGCTAGAGCTCAAAGTTCAGATACAAATACCCACCCTTTTTGCTTCTGCTGTGATGTTCAACTTCCGTTCAATCGAGATAAATATGCGGTGTTGTGGCGTATGTGACCGCATGCGGAAGTATCTGAATGTAAAATAACTTGTTGTTGGGCTAGTTGGTGTTGACTATCCGCAGCTGCAGAAAAAAAGTATAAAAAAGGAGAAAAGCGAGCCAGCCCGAACACTTCCGAGCTCATATCCAGCCTGCCTAACTAATCCCTGATGTTCGGGATTGACGCAGAGAACCTTGAAGGGTTACAGAGATTTTGTCGGGGGGCCGGTAAGCCCATTAGCATTCGTGCGAGAAGGCCGTAAAAAGCGAGGGGGAAAATGGAGGAGGAAAAGGGAGGAGGAAAAAAAGGAAGGAGGGGTAATTTTCTGTCATGCTGAAGAAAACTTTGAGCGCCCGCCTTTAAGTTAATTAAAAAATGCAACATATCTATATGACACGGCAGATTAATTTGTTTTTATTTTGTCCTTGCGCATCTGGACTGGCTACTTTCTTAAAAATGCCTTCATGACTACTTACCCTCAAAACACACAGAGTGCAAATCTCTGTGATCTACGAAATGAGCTGAGCGAATGTTGACACCAAGCATCTGTTTAGACCTCAAAATTAAGCGTGAAGTTTGGCATTACGCAATGCAAGCACTAGGCTTTTCATTGCGCAACGTCACAGCGCAGACATCATTTTTAGTTCTAAACGGGTATCGTTCGCTAAGCTGATTTCGTTGATCGCAGAGATTGGCTCTTTGAGTTTTTTGCAGTTAAGTAGAGGTGCAGGCATTTTTTATAGTGTATGCGCGCTTGCAAGCAGGTTATCCGTACACATATGTGTCTCTGCTGCTGTGGGCCTGCTCGCGAAATTGCAAGTATTATCAAGTTCCATAAGTTTACACAACCGCTGCAAGTGGATTCCAATTGTCTAGAGAAGAAATACAGATAATTTCTGTGCAGTATGTTATCAGCGAAATGTCTGACGATTTTGCTTTTCAGCGGACTGACGCAAACTGATTCGCGCCTAAGAGAGACATGCTTCATAGGCAGCAATTATCTCAAATATGCATTCAACGAGTCTCCTTTATGGAAATACTGGTTTATCTTGAAATGACAAAGGTAGCAGTAAAATGGAGGACACGAATAAGTCACGCGCAAAATAAGCGCCATTAAATTACGAAAAAAAAATAGGATTAACTTAAACAGGCTCCAAGAAAATTTGTAAGACGAGTGTGGATGTTTTATTTTTATTTTTGTCGCTGAAGGCAGTACAGTTAAACGACGTCGAAATAAATGTCACATGGGAATTTGTCTCGCGACAGTCCCATAACGTTTACTGAAGAAGCTATGGGTACAGCGCTCACCAAGGCTACACAAAATAGTCGAGCGAATCGTGCCTTATTTAATGGCAGGGCTATTCTAGCGGAGTCCTGACGACGGGCTTAATACGTAGCAACCAATCAAAACAGCCCAATGGGGAAGGCTAGTTATACTCCAGACTGAGATCGAGGCTGGACCTAGGACAACTTATAACTTCTGACGCCAAGGCGATCTACTTGTGCCTCCACACTCACGCAACAAAACGGTGCCGAAGTCTATATACTTCGTGTAACATCAACAATTGGTGTTTTCATGGGTAGCTGTCAAAATGGTCGGTTATGGGAGCATTAGAAACACGGGGCGCTGTTCATTATGCTTAAAAGGGAACACCATGCCATCACATTATCATTGCCAATTTGCGACGGCGTGTCTTTGCCAAAACAAAGATAAAGATTATCGTATTGTTGCGATTATGGTTCCTCCCGTGTTGCGTTCGACGATTCTGTCGGCTCATGGAGCCCTTTCACTGCACTCGCTGCAGAGCGTTAAGAAGATGTTAGAGACACGTTCGCCACGGCCGACGTTTTTTAAGCGGTCGAGGACTAAGGAAACATAAAATTTCCTTTGATTCACCTTCATAATTATGATTATTCGAGAAGAGCTCTATGAAGTGATTTCTCGACATTTTAATTATTCTCAGGTATCTAAAACTCGGAGCACCGCAGTTGACATGGAACGGGGCGCACAGTTGTGACGGAAACATTTCTCTGAACGGCGGCTTGGAGAATGATTACTGAAATTGGCGTGTCTAAACGAAATTATAGCAGTTACTTATATTTTACGCTCGTAGCTGTAAAATATTTCTTATTTTTTTCTTGAGCAGCATCTACTATGATAAAGTTGGTGCAGCTAGTAGTTTAATAACCATTGGTTCAAACACACTGTCGCCTCTACCAATAAATTTGAAGCTTGCACGTGACAATCGGATAAATTGCGGCAAAATTGTTCTTTACCAATTTGAACGATACTGGAGGGCTGTAGGCTGGTAGCCGTTTATACGTGCGCTTAATGAGGGTAAAAAAAAAGAGCCAAGAGTGATTTGTCACAAAGTGATGTGAGATGTGAGGGTTCTGTGCCGTGCTCTCAAAAATGCTCTGTTAAATTACTGCTCTCATACTTAATTGAATTGTTAATCCAGTCATCTATGTCCTTACGAATATGTTTACGAGGAGCACAATAAAAAGTGTCGTTTCCTTAAAATGCCGATAGAAATATTTTAGGCGATTGCAGCCGAAATAAGATTTCAGAACAAAGTTGGTTACTGAGCCTTTTTGATTAATGTGGCTGTCTCTCGGAAAACTAAAGAATATGCTTTTTATGAATATGTTTTTTTTAATATTGCTCTCATCCTAAAGGTAATAGCAGTGCGTGAATTCTAAAAAAATAACTGCAGAAAAAATTGATAAGACTACCAGACGATATTATTATATCCTGACAAAAGAATGCAGAGGACGGTTCCGGTACTGATAAATCAGTCCCGTGTTCAAGATGTGACATGTGCGAAAAACCGCTATTTAAGCAGCCCTTTGTTAATTCCCAACATCACTCATCGAGGAACATCTTGACGTTCGTCATGGCCGGTTCTATGGTTTTCTTGGCAATCTGTGCCTTTGCCTTCGTGTCATCCGCAAGTGCATCTGACGAGCTCTCAGTCGTCAAGGTGGACCAATGCACGGGTGAGTGGTGCTGCTCTTGCCTCGATGTTTGCAGGGAGAAAGACAGTTCGACTACGCAAACATAAGGATATTGTCATGAAACACAGGCTTCAAAAAAATTAGTAACTTGAAATTAAAGCAAAATAAAGGGGCTTTTGTGACAGCAACCTTAGCATTCGCGTTCTCTGAGTACAGTTTAAATCACTAAGCGCTTTTATATAAGTTTTAGAAGTATTTTTCTATGAAAGGTGTTAAATGTGTCAACCAGACAATGCAATTTCCAATAAGTTTAATGCGATTGTTTCAACACTGTCGTAAATTAATTTTCCATGTAAAAAAATCTAGAAATGCATTTAGAGTTTTTCTTTTTTAGTCGATTTTTATACGGTTCAGACATAACCACAGAGGTATACGATCAATGGCCGAACGAAGTTTGGCAGTATATTTCAGTCACCCAGACATAAATATTTAGGAATTGTCGTATTTCCCATCACTAAAGGTAAAAAGAGAAAATCTCGTTATTTTTAGCACGCACACCAATCGTCTCCACAACGTTCTATGAACCATCGCATATTGCATTTAAATATTTCCCTTTGCGAAAATGTAATCTCGCAAATAAGAGGAACTCCATACTCTGTGATATATTTAATCTTGCTTTGTTTAAAAAGATATGCGCTTCAAGAATGCTTATCTTTTACCTGAATTACAGATGGGTCGACGAAGAATGTGAAGGAAGTTCGATTGACTCACTGCGAATCCCTTCCCTGCAATGTCAAATTGGCCGACAAGCCTCGCTTTGAAGTCGACTTCATCGCAGGTGAGGACAAAGTAGCTACATATCTGGTACTCTAGCATATACAGCCTCACGTAGCGTGCAGAGTATTGGTTTTGTAGAATGCTGTATTCTTCTCAATTTTATAATAATAAGTATGTTACATTTTATTTTTAATCCATCGTGGTTTCTTTTAGTCCATTCCTAACTGCTAATGACGGAGAGTATGGGTGGTGGGATTGATGGGAGGGAGGTATTGATGTGGCACAAAGATAGGATGGTTATCGCTTCAGGGTAGGAGGAAGTGTCGATCGGGGGCAGTTTAGGAAGAACACAACCTAGGTTGCGTATTTTCAACTGCAGCAGTCGCATTATGAACCGACAATTCACAGGGTAAAACACTCCGGTCGTTTTTTTCGGACACACACGGCCTGTTATGTGCCCATGCACTGCTAGCGAGAATATTATAATAGCACCAAAAGAAATCTATATCGTCCACATTATGATTCCTTTTAGCAGATGAGGTGTTTGATAAAATAAGGCATTCAAACACGGATACATGGCTCTCTAAGGGCTCAAGAAATGAAAAATTCAAGAGTAATATATAAGCTTTATTGTATTTCAGCATTGATGCGAATTTGCAGCCCGAAAAATCATTCTATCGTGATGCCTTCACATTGTATACAGTAAAGGTCCTGGTTGTATTCCGCAGTTCTTGGTAAACATTCACGGGGTAATTGAGTGATATCTACGGGAAAAATAAAGAAATAAAGGTGTGATCCGGTATATAAATTGTATGGAAAGTATGAGAACCCTAGGATCAGCAATTTTTGTTATGCCTCATTAAATGTGGAGGCGTATTCCTCAATAGCGGATTTTTAATGTCTCCCTATTCCATGCACCAATACATTAAAAAGATTGGGACCAAAATGAAACCAAGCCGCATAGAATGACACCTTTCAGGGCATTTATAGACTATTTCAATTGAAGACAATAAAAATGATATGAACGCATATAGTAATAAAACAGAAAATTTTGTGTGAAAAATGCATTGCTGCGTCAGTAGCAACGAAATCACAGTGAGGTGTAGTATGGTGATGCAGCCAACCAAATACTCGAAAACGAATTACTTGAAAAATCGTTGTATTATAAGCAAATATATGCTTTACACTTGAAAAATGTTGCGCTGGGACATCTGTCAAACTTAAAACAGGTTAGACGAACGCATAAGATGTCTGGCGTTTTGAAATATTTTTGCGCCATTGTGGCTTTAGCCTCACCTGTTTCGCCCTGCCCTATCTTTTGTCCTTATGGCATCGGCGTAAACATGGCCTTTTCGTCAAGACCCAAATAGCGGTTCTTGACAGAGGAACTTAGATGTAGTAACTCTAATATGAAAGTTTTCACGTTTTCAGCAGGTGGACACAGGTTGGTAATGTTAACCTTTCCTCTCCTCCTGTAGAGAGGGACTCCGATGTGATGCGTCTCAAGGTTCAAGGCCAGATTGGACAACTGAAGCCGGAGAATTTCCCTGGCTTCAAGAGCGACGCGTGTAGCCAGATGGGTGTTGATTGCCCACTTGTGGCCGGCAAGCAGTACACAGCCAAGTCACAGCTCACGATGTCACCTACATTCCCGCCGGTAGGTTTATCCACAGGTCTTTTACTTTGACGCTTTCTTTGATATATGTAGAGTTTCCTTTTTAAGTCCGCAGTCTTCAGACTCAACAGGGATACTCTACAGCCCTAAAGTTCGCAGCTTTCCAGACACAGTAGTTTCCGTTCAAAAAACTAAAAGACGATGAGAAGTATGAATCTGCGGAATGCGGACCACACAATGCCCATTTATGCGAGGTACAGTTTTATTTTTTAAAAGGAGGCGGACTGTTTAGTGTAGATATTTTACCTTGAATATCTACGTTTTGAAAAGACAAGGGGAGTGAAACAAGCACTCATTTTTTACAAAATCCGTAAACTCCTGCAATGAAGATTGGGAAGAATATTAAACAAAAGAAAGGGCAATAAAAAAATTATATGAATGAAAATTATTGATATCAAAGCCAATAAGTTGAATTCTAGAATGTAAACCAATAAGCGAGCTTATAGGCACTTTATTTTTATTCACGTAGAGCTGGGCATCAGACGATAGAACATTATGTTAGCACCCTCTGTTGGAGTAAACAGTGTGAATGTTTTCAAAGTGGAGTCATGCACGGGACCCAGATGATGTCACCGTTGCTCCTACCATTCTTAGAGTGAATTGGTGAATTTGACAGCCAAGCCAACAAACGCTGAACCACAATAAATAACATAATAACTAAATTACTAATCGCTGTATAAATTAAGGTAGTACATTAGATCCGCTGAAATCTGTTCTACACGTCGTCATTTATTAACGTTTACATCTGGAAAGAGAAAAGGGGATGTGGAAACACTGAAAATTAATAACGTTTTCTTCGCTTCGATTTTCAGACTCAAGCAAAGGCCATTTTCACAGGTGTGGATGCTGCAGGAGAGCTCTTCTGCTTTACCGTACCTGTAGAGCTGAAGCAGTAGACTCATGCATCTGACTCGAGAAATAAATAAATTTGACTAATGTTGAAGCTGGTGTCGTGATTATAGTTTTGTTTAGCGAAATCCGGATGGAACCAAGCCTCCAAAATTCACTGAAGAAGAAACTTCACTAAACACATTACCATAAGAAGCGTCTAAATTGGTTGTGCCTGTTCATCCCTGCATCTTTAAAAATGGGAAGGTTTATGAAAGCATTAACTTCGAAAACACTCGTGGCGAAGGAAATGTAGGCTAAAAAATATGCAAGGCGACTCTACAATAGTATGATAATTTTAAGTTGCCATCGAATATTATAATGCGTATATGACTTTCCCTTGATTAAGCTGGTCATCGTGGCACTTTAAAGTTGAAGGGCTACAAAGAGACCGAATTAAAGCTCAAACTTTCCTGGCGAAAATTGTTATATAAATCTGTCCGATTTGAGGACCTTCAATAACATAAAATAACTTATAAGCAGGTTATATAATTTACACGGTTTCTATGCTTACTGGACAGATCATTAATAAAATAGTATATTTTCTTCAATAGTGTGGCTATTTAAAAGGCGCATAGAATGTGATTATTACATAACAAAAAGATAAAAGACGTTTACAAATATATTTAAAGCGAAATGAGAGAGCGGCTAGCTAGGAGAAGGAAGGAAGGGTACGGCATGGAGGATACAGCCCTCCTCCTCCGTACCCTCTCCTCCTCCCCTCCTCCTCGACAACAAATCAAATTCCTGCTAAATTTAGTTGATTGCATTGGTGCTGAGGTCACGTGACATCAATTTTCCCGCTAGATCTAGAGTAGGAACTGAGTTTGTCCGCTTAATCTAGCGAATAATCTGAATTTCCCCGATAAATTTAGCAGGGAAATTGAATTGGTGTTGAGGTAACGCGACGTGTATTTCCTCACTAAATTTAGCGCGGTTTCGCCGACGCTGAGGCCGAGGCCGACGCAGACGCCGACACCGACGCTGCGAAACCAGGAAACGGGCGTCTAAGAACTGCACTCGAAAAAATGTGCTGAAGAACCCAATAAATCAGTCATAAGAGCTAGTTTTGTTAAAGAATATCTGCAGTCTCTCATTTGCGTTTGTAAAATCGATCCACGGGGCACTCACAAGCTTTCCGCGCGTAGCCGTTATTATTGGTTATCGCTATTTCACTGTTATTTTTTAATTTAGATATTATTGCCTCGAATTTACATGTCTTCAGGCTGTCAATGTTTAGTATGGTCAGTCAGAATAATTATGAACCTTGAAAACTTTATTAATTTTATATTATTAATTGATATTGAGAAGTGAGAGCGCGTGGTCCAACTAATTTTGACATTCGCGTGCTGCTCACAGAATAAAGGACTTGTAAGAGGATTTCCTGTTAACTTCAAAAAAGCTCATTCCATAGACACAACCCGTGACCAAGCAGTGTTGAATTGCGTGTTACACAGAAATCCTCCGAGAGTTTTTTGTCATTCACAATATGTAGAATTTATGGTCCGTTACAAGAGTAAACATGTTGGCATTTCTACAGATTTCATAAGAATAGCTGGCGTGCTTAATGCGGTGTTTTTTTTGCAACACGTTTCATGCTACCGTTCTTTACATGTAACAATAGTTAGTGAATAAAGTATTCACGATATATTTACCGACATTTACTATTGAAACCGACTGGGTCATATAGGGGGCTGTGAGGGGTCGCTACCCTGTGGAACCAACTCTCACCCAGCAGTTAGCGCCAACACGCGGCAACATTCTGTCCTAATTTCGGCAAACAACTTTCATGTCAATATTGCTTTAATGAAATATAACATTTGGTACATTTTACAGTAATTTTATCTTGGTTTATTTCGAATGACTCCTTACATTGTATTACACACCACAATTTATGTACTTCAATGTGAAGCAATCTCAAAGGAGCTTCATATATCGCTGCCCATTCGGACGCCTATTTCGCGCGGTAAAATTCCGTCGACACTATTTCCTCTATTATACTCCTTTAAATCTTAAGCTGACAGTGTGGCGGGAGCTAAGCTCCGGCCCGACTAATCAATTGCATGCCTTTTCTCCCCTCACCTAGCTCTCTGCTCGCGGTTTTGGACGTGAGTGTGATCACACGACGAAAGACAGATACGACTGGTCCATCGATCACCTAGTTTTCTTCCGCATTGTAAGCTTTAAGGTGGACGAAGTATAGAGGAGTCTGTTTGCTGAGAAACGCTGGACTATCCGACTTTCAAAGTCGATGGAACACCGTTTGCGTGCCACTGTGAAGTTGACACGCATATAGCCTTCTCTAAAAACGTTTCCTAAATATATTTACATTCAAACGTAGGTATATGTGTGGGGTGCCGGCGTGTGAATTCTTAATGGAGTTTAGAAAAAAAAGTAAACAAAGAACGTTTTGATTATTTTTCTGTTGTTTTAAAACATGTTTATTTGTACATTCGATTGATGTCGCCTATAATTTCTACGAACGTGTGTTGCATACAATATATTAATCAGTGCTCCCGACATTTATATAAAAAAGGGCTCCCTCTAAGATATCTGTCTCGTTATATAATAATGTCTCTTTTCAGTGACTAAAAACAACCACAGCAGTCTTTTCTTGGCTGCACCCCATAATCATAAAAAAATGGAAGCACTTCCTACCATAACATAATCACAAAAATCAAACAGAAGTTATGAGTAAATTACACGGTTATTCAATTGATGGCGGTACACTGACATAGATGTGCAGAAATCGAGGTCAGGAGGAGCGATTCTTTTATATAATGTCTGAATCCGTGTAAGCGGGAAAGTACAACACGGTGAAGGAACGTCAAATCATACAATATATCTGGTATGACAGACGTTATTATAAAAACTTACATTGTTAAGCAATGAAAATGACTAGGAGCCAATGAAAACCCTATGTAAAAACACGAAATCATGACTAGTTCTCCTTCCAGGCTAAAGCGTCAGCAAAAATGAACTTAGCATGACTTCATAATCCCTATACAATCGCCTTCCCAGATATCTATCGTAAAGAATATGAATCATGCTTTTCTGAACATGTTCTATCGTCACGTCTTGTGTGTTAGTTATTCAGTTTTATTTTGCTAAAGAGAATTCAACTCGGGACCCAATCAAGGTTTTGAAAGGGTGTAATAAGCAATGAGGCTTCTTGAAATGCCGCGTCAAGCGTAGTAACATTCCCAACATTCTCATAGAAGTACCTACCAGAAAAGATACTTTTTCTAAACGACAAGGCACCACCAACAAACACTCGAAGGTCTCTCACATAAAATACACGCTGAATTGGCATGGTATGAAGATCATGGGAAAAATCGTAAGGTACATGCCGTCGGCACAGAAATAGCACTTTTGCTTTTGCAGGAAAAATCACTAAAATGTTATGTTTACACCACAAAAAAATGGAAGACACATCATGGTGTAGGTTATCACATTCCGCAGTAGAGTGAATGTTTGTAACCCAGTTGTACACCTATGATTGTCGGAATCCGCTACACAGACGGAGCGCAAGTTCGTCTGCTTCTTGCACAGCGGTTGCGGTGATGTCAAACCTTCGAGCTCTGATTGGCTGATTGAGAAATATAGTTTGTTGACCTCGAAGCATCTAATATCGAGGTCTACCCACTACCTTTAAACTCAAAGCCAGTCAGAAACTGGCGTTCTTCTGACGTCACCGCAAACACAGTAGAAGAAGCAGAGGACTTGGTCTTCGAATAGCGGTTGTCCAATTCTTGCTTACATAATGTCATTGAAAGAATATTCCCTAGAACGAACCTTTCAATGTAGGGGCAGTGGTATTATTGGGAATATGTGTGGATGGAATTTCACTGAAAAGTTTGTAAAAACAATCAAACAATTGTTAGGGTGTTGTAAAAGAGGTGGATAACAATATATATATTGTGTTTTCGCGTTAAAAGACCCTGCGTATATTCGAGACTCCCGAAAACAGTCCACGGCCAGTAGTAATTGTCACGAATCTGGGCGAGCGTACTGCTATAGCCAAGGTGTCCAGCTGTCAGGTCGTCATGGCATGCTTGAAAGATTTCTTCTCGAAGGCTGGCCGGAACAACCAGCAGCCAGGCAGGGTTGCTCGTTCCAAAGTTCTTCTTAAAGGGCACGCCTCGCTCCAGAACTAATCTTGGAAAGTCTCATGCCAAGACTCGCGGAAGTAAACATTCTTGACCTTCGAGGTGGTCAATCACGGCCCGAAGTTCGGTGTGGTCTTGTTGACGTGCTCCCATGTCGGTATCTGTAATTGCTCCGAGAAAACGGGCGTCATCGTCGTCGTCGGTGCTGTCGGGAGGAGATTCGACTGGGGCCCTATGCAAACAATCGGCGTCATTATGCTTGCGTCCAGACTTGTGCGCAATGGTCATGTCGAATTCTTGCAGTAAAAGGCTCCAGCGAGCGAGGCGTCCTGACGGGTCCTTGAGGTTGGCGAGCCAACAGAGAGCGTGGTGGTCCGTGACAACGCGGAACGGAATCCCGTACAGGTACGGGCGGAACTTGGTTAACGCCCAGACAACAGCGAGACATTCCTTGTCGGTTGTTGAGTAATTTTTTCTGCCTTGGACAGCGCCCGGCATGCGTAAGCGATCACACTCTCTGTGGCGTCTTGTCTTTGGACGAGCATCGGACCTAGCCCGGCGTTGCTGGCGTCTGTGTAAACTTCTGTTTTCGCTGATGGATCGAAGTGTCCAAGGATAGGGAACGACTGAAGTCTTTCCTTCAGTTCGTTGAACGCTTGTTCTTGCTCTTCCCCCCACTGGAAGTTCACGTCGTCCTTCGTCAAATGCGTAAGCGGTGCAGGAATCTTGGCAAAATCGCGAACGAATCGTCTGTAGTATGCGCACAGCCCAAAAAAATCTTCGTACGGCTTTCTTGTTTGATGGCTTTGGAAATTCAACGACAGCGGATGTCTTTGCAGAGTCAGGACTTACACCTTGAGCACTCACGACATGGCCCAGGAATTAGAGCTCGCCATAAGCGAACCGACATTTTGACGGCTTCAGTGTCAGTCCGGCATTCTGGATA